GTTAGAAGAATAACTTGCTGGAGTGCCTGGGTGGCTCAGTTGGTTAGACATCTGACTCTTGATTTCAGCTGAGGTCATGATCTCAGGGTCGTGAGACTGAGCCCTACCTCAGGCTCCCTCGCTTAAAAAATAAATAAATAACTTGCCCAACATTTCTCTCTGATGTTGGGTTTGTACATAATTGTGCTCTGCACTTCAGAGAAGGGCTCATAGCGCCTTCTTTTTTTTTTTTTTTTTTAAAGATTTTATTTATTTATTTGACGGAGACACAGTGAGAGCGGGAACACAAGCAGGGGGAGTGGGAAAGGGAGAAGCAGACTTCCAGTGGAGCAGGGAGCCCGACATGGGGCTCGATCCCAGGACCCTGGGATCAGGACTTGAGCTGAAGGCAGACGCCTAACGACTGAGCCACCCAGGCACCCCTCTCAGCACCTTTCAAGCCATGTTGGAAGCAATAAGAATGATGATGGCAACTAACTGGGTACAGCCTTTCAGACACACTAACCACATCAGATTATCACGAAAACTTGAACCCACAATCCCGAGATCAAGAGTCTCACGCTCTTCCAACTGAGACAGCCAGGAGCCCTGATAATTCCATCTTATAGATGGGCAAAGTGAGGATTAGAGACGTTGGGAGCTTTGTTCAAGGCCGTACAGATGGTAAGAAGCAGAGTCATTTTTTTTTTTTTAAAGATTTATTTATTTATTTGACAGAGAGAGAGAGACAGCTTGAGAGGGAACACAAGCAGGGGGAGTGGGAGAGGGAGAAGCAGGCTTCCCGCCGAGCAGGGAGCCCCATGCGGGGCTCGATCCCAGGACCCCGGGATCATGACCTGAGCCGAAGGCAGACGCTTAACGACTGAGCCACCCAGGCGCCCAGCAGAGTCATTTTTTAACCCAGATCTTCTGACTCCATGCCCCCTAACAGTGTCATAGGTGCCCATTACCTAGTGAAACACCATGGTCACAGCTCATTCTCTGAGAGTGAGATTTTTATTTTAACAGTGAGATTGTGAGGGTGAAGCACAAGGGTAGGGGCAAAGTCACTGAAAAGTACAGACAAGACAGGACCCACGTACACCCTGCCTGCCCCAGAGCACAGAGTGAGCAACTGGAGTTCCTAGAGATAGGCACCGGGATCAACGAGCATATCCCAAACCTGGCTGTAAGTAAGGGAACATGAGAAGCATCTCTGGCCCCCCCCTCAGGGGTGGGCCAGTGGGATCAGTGCTTTCTCTTAGGTGTAAAATGGTCAAGGGGCACCTGGGTGGCTCAGTCATTAAGCGTCTGCCTTCGGCTCAGGTCATGATCCCATAGTCCTGGGATACAGCCCTGCGTTAGGCTCCTGCTCAGCGGGGAGCCTGCTTCTCCCGCTCCTCCCCCTGCTTGTGTTTCTTCTCTCGCTTTGTCTCTCTCTGTCCAATAAATAAAATCTAAAAAAAAAAAAAAAAAGGTCAAGCATTTAAGGGGCACTTGGGTGGCTTAGCTGGTTAAGTGTTTGCCTTTGGTTCAGGGTTGAGCCCCGTGTGGGGCTCCCTGCTCAGCAGGGAGTCTGCTTCTCCCTCTCCCTCTGCCCCTCCCCTCTGCTCCTGCTCTCTTTCTCTTTCTCTAATAAATAAATAAAATCTTTAAAAAAAAAAAAAAAGAAAAAGGGTCAAGATTGGAACACTGAGTTCAGGTTTTTCCTCACTCACAGTCCTGGACTAAGCACCTCAGAAGAGGTCCGTACCTAGTCAGTCAAGTTCAGCATCATTAGGCCTCAGGGATGAATGTTAAAAAGCCTCTCAGGGCCCTTCTGATAAAACCCTAAAAAGACCAACAGGAAAAAACCCAAATGCCCAGTCTTTCCATCTGAACTGGTGAATATTCTGAGAGTAAGACCCTTATTGGCCTAGGGCAGCACATAAGTTCCAGAAACAACAAACACTGCTCTGTGGAAAAGGTAAAATGTTAAGTCTGCAGGCCGACACTTGGCATCACATTTTAGAATTTACTTATAAGTCAACTGTTTGAAACTCAGAATATACTCATAGAGTCTAAAACGCACCAATAGCACTGAGTTTCCAGTCTAGCCTCCAAAGCCAGTTTAGCCTATTATGTACAAAAACATGGTAGTATTCCAGCTCTCCTAATCGCATTTCAGTGGCAAAAGCCAAGTCAAAATTCCAAGCCACAACAATCAGAAATATTTCTCCTTCTCAGCTCAAGTGGTCCATGCTGGTCTTAAGAAAGCAGAAGGGCCAAGAGAGGTGCAACTTCAGCCCAGTGGCTTCCTAAACCCCCAGTCCTCAGGGTCGGTTCATCCTGCTCTAGTGGTCCTGACTTGGGGGACAAGAGCGCTTGCCAGGCAGGGCTGGAAGGCAAAGGGCCACGCATGTCCAGCTCTGTCTCCACCAGCACCTGGAGGCATAGACTGAAAAAGAGCTCAGTGATGTTCAGGTTAAAATAAAAGCATTTGACCTTATTTTTCAAACCACTCTTGCCTGAAATTTTATTTTTTTTTTTAATTTTTAAAAATTTTTTAAAGATTTTATTTATTTGACAGAGAGAGACACAGCGAGAGAGGGAACACAAGCAGGGGGAGTGGGAGAGGGAGAAGCAGGCTTCCCGCGGAGCAGGGAGCCCGATGTGGGGCTCAATCCCAAGGACCCTGGGATCATGACCTGAGCTAAAGGCAGACACTTAAAGACTGAGGCACCCACTAGCTTGATTTTAAATCAAGCTAAAAGTGCTGATGTCACAACAGGAAAGAGCTGTAACAGGCTGGGTCTAATACGGTATAACCCTTTCTGAGAGGGCAGAGTCCCTAACTGCTCTCTTGCCACATCTCTGCAAAGTAGCGAGGAGGCACACTGGTGGCTAAACAACACGGTCCTTTCTGTAGGACAAACAAAAGCTAAAGCTGTCCATTTGTGCATGCGCATGCATGTATCCAGACAGCAGTCTGGGAAGGCACACGCCAGCCAGCTAATGGCAGCCACTTCTGGGAAATGGAATGGGATGGGAGAGTAAGTCGGCACTTTTACGTTTCACCCTTTGAATTTCTTTTGAGAAGTCCATTTAAAAAAAAAGCTTTATGTATGCTTTACACGTGTTAACTCAAAAAATACTTTAAACTATCACAACCCATTTTAAAAACACTTCAAAACGGTAATTTCCCTGAATATAAAATGTGATCATAGAAATACTCAGAAATTTAAAATATACTTGGGATAGATTCAAAACAGAATGACCCATGGAGGCTATTATACATTTATACCAGCAGGTTCAGCAAACGACAACCCGTGGGCCAAATCCAGTTCAACAGACAGGTCCACAAAGTAAGACTGGTTTTTACATTTTTAAAGGGTTATTAAAAAAAAAAAGGTGACAGAGACCACATGTGGTCCACAATTCCTAGAATTTACTATTTGCTCTATACAGAAAAAGTCTGATGATCCCCAATTTACACCAATAGTACTATGTTTTTTCAAGTACAGTTCTCTTCTTTTTCTTCTTCTTTTTTTTTTGTAGGCTCCATGCCCAAAGTGGGGCTTGAACTCATGACCTTGGGATGGAGAACTGCATGCTCTGCTGACTGAGCCAACCAGATGCCTCTCAAATATAGTTCTAAATTCTCTTGGAAATGCCTTCAAAATAACTTTTTTTTTAAGATTTTATTTATTTTTTTGACAGAGAGACACAGCGAGAGAGGGAACACAAGCAGGGGGGGTAGGAGAGGGAGAAGCAAGCTTCCCGCGGAGCAGGGAGCCCGATGCGGGGCTCGATCCAAGAACCCTGGGATCATGACCTGAGCTGAAGGCAGACACTTAATGACTGAGCCACCCAGTGCCCCTCAAAATCACTTTTAAACACGATAGAAATTGGTCATATTACTTAACAGCCTACGTTTTTTCCCCCTAAACCCACAGCAGTATAAATTAGCTTGTTTAGCTACCCAGCCATCAGAGTTGGCTCAGAAGATGTGATTTCCTAAAATCAAATTCACCCCCAGGATGGGAAAGGGACATTCTCTCTTCTAGCATTCAAGAACCTAACCTCTGATGTGCTGCTAAAATGTACAAGGACTCATGACATCAAACTCAGAAGAATTCTCTGAGCAAATAACAATAATTTTTAAAATTTAGCAGTTACACTAGTGACACTAATCTGGCAGCAGATCAGTTGAATAAATGATTTCTTAAATGAAGGAAGGAAAAAGGTCATCTTTTATTCTGAATGAAAATTGTATTCTAATCTTACATTCTAATCTAGAGCCCTGAAGGAGGGAGGATATTTCACTTTGATTATCAAAGACCCTAAGAAATGTACTGAGTAAGAATCAAACACAACAAAATGGGAACAACTATGAATGTAGAACTGGAAAAATAATTTATCCTGTAAACATGGGTGAACTTTCTACATTAAACCAATGGTTCTATAGAATGACAACTCACAAATACAGTTCATAATCATATTTAGAAATCTCAGTCCCCACTAGGTACTTTTAGCAGGATGTTATTTGGAAATTAAGTTTCACCTTCAAAATGCAAAGAACATAAAATACCGGCTGATTTGCTGGGTTTGTTTCACAGTCTTTGAACCTACTTAATTTGAAACGAAAGCAATTCAGAACCTGGAGTGCACCAATTTTATTTTTTTATTTTTTATTTTTAAAGATTTTATTTATTTACTTGACAGAGAGATAGAGAGAGAGCACAAGTAGGCAGAGTGGCAGGCAGAGAAAGAGGGAGAAGCAGGCTCTCCACTGAGCAGGGAGCCAGACGTGGGACTTGATACCAGGACCCTGGGATCATGACCTGAGCCGAAGGCAGATGCTTAACTTGACTGAGCCACCCAGGCGCCCCAACATGCACCAATTTTTTACAAGGACAGAGTATCAACAGAAAGAAGATGGAGATCACGACTATAGTAATTTGGGAAACCACGAAAACGACACTCTCACTTACCTCTGGGACACGTTTTCCTACCCAAGTATGACACAGAAGATACCCTACCTCAATGTCCTGGAGGCTGAACTCCTTCTGGTCTGTAAAGTTTGCGGCCCCAGCGCTAAGTTCCATCAGCATCTTGGCGATCTCGGGCTTTATGGCTGAAGTCAGCCGACTGGCTGCTTCCATGACGTGCTCCTGCACATCTTTAAGCTGCATGGCTGCCTTGGAGTAGTGAGAGTTCCTGAACACAGTGCTGAAGAGATCTGTGAGGAAGGTGCTGGCCCGGCAGAAGACGTTGAGGGCATCCAGGTACTTGGAGATGCCCTGCTGGATGTCGGCGATAGGCGTGGAGTGGGGCATGGCATGGTGGCAGCTGCCTGCAGCGGTCAGACTGCCCAGGGGGGCCGCGGGGGCCGCCGACGCCAGGGGAGCACTCAGCGCTCGGCCCAGCTCGGGCATCGGGTACTGCTGGTGCTGCTGCACCTTCTGCTTGGACCCGCCAAGCAGGAAGCGCCGCTTGTAGTCCATTTTACTGTCCTGGGCACTGCAGCAATACATGCGGGAGGGGGAGCTGTCCCAGTGGGTGGGGCACGGTTCGGATTCCTCTTCTTCCCCCCGAAACTGTAGCTAGGTATAAAAATAGTGGAGTTCTGCAAATCTAAGTTTTGAAAAAGGCATTTCCATGAGGCAGGTGACCGTGTGATCCAACGTCGATGGGAGAACGACGGGTTTATGTAAGTAATATTTTCAGGGTAGGCGAGACCTCTGACAAAAAAATAAAAGTGTGTCCAAAATGCTGTATAAGAACTGTTAGCATTCCGCTCTCTTAATAAAAAGATATGCTTGCGGAGAAAAATGTTTACCTATCATTGCAAGAATATTTCGATACTTGTATTTACAATGGCAGAAAAATAACTTAACTTTAAAAAATGTAATATAATGTAATATAATGTATCTTCAATATACCAGAAAAATTAGAACCCAAAAACCCACAAGCTGATCAACAGCAATTCAAAAAGCAGTACAGTTACTTCACACTAAGTCCTTAGGAAGGAAGATCAAACTGCTGCAGAGTTTGACAGAGCCCGCCTGCCAAATCCATTCACCTGTAAATCTTATTCTCAATGCAAAAAATTTCCAAGTTTCCTTTAACGTTTTCTGAAAACAAGTGTTTTTCTTAAAAATGGCATTTGTTCTTATAAGTCTTCTCCTCCTTTCCTTCTGTTTGCTGAGGTAGCAGTTTCCTTGTAACAGTAATGAGAGGTGCTTCCAAGACTGGGTTGGCCCTCAATTGTAAAGTCTGAAGCAAGAATGCACAGATGTATTTGTAAGGCCTCTAAGTCATTTCCTGTGAGGGGGGAAAATAAGATAAAGTTAGGAAAGTTACAGGATGACGAGTAATTCCAAAACATTAACTCCTGAAATGCTACAATCCACAAAGGCGGGCTTGAAGTAAGAAATCATATATAACCTTACCAAAGCAGGTGCGACAGTGAGAGTTCAACTATGACATGACGACTACTAGAAAATTCCTCAAGTCGTATAAAACTAGTGCAACCAAAAAAGTTTGATTCCGCACCAACCACTCCAAAGCTGAGGCTAATGGGGCCTGAACTCATGTTTGTGTTCGGCATACCCTTGACTCCTCCTAAAAGAGCTCATAAATCGGCAAGAGGATCAGGAGAGTACCCAGATCGTGGGGAGGGCTGTCAGCAACCACAGCACTCCCAACACTTTAAGGGGGACTAGAACAGAGAAGGAGAAATCGGGAAGGCTGTGATAAAAGAAATGTTACTTTGAGGGAGGCCTCAACCGTAGGATAGGTTTTGACAAGTGCAAAAGGGATGGGTGGGGCTCACCAGGTCAAAGGACCACCACAGACAGCAAGGCCCTGAGCAGCATGGCATGGGGTCCACTCAGGATTCCCAGCTCGGCCAAAGTGCAGCGCACGGACAGAGCCTGGAGTGGTGAGTGGCGGACAGGAGGTCTGCAGACAGGATTCTCCTCACCCTCTCCCAGGTTCCCTCTGGATGTTCAAAGAGAAGCCTGGCAGGTGTGCCCGTTCTTACACCCGGGGGTAGCTCCTGTAGAACCCCTGGCTCTGGAGAGGTTCAAAGAGCAACGTCTGGACATGTGCGGTAATAGTTTGATACCTCCAACAGTGGAGTGGTGGGATTCTTCTCACAGAGCTACTCTTGGGGTTCCCATTTGCCTGAACTCTCAGTTCTCTCAAACATACCACGAGTTCAAGTCTATTTTACTGAGTGTTATATTTAGTCTACACTGAACTTAAAACCATGTGATATCTCGATATAGTTTGGACTACTTATTGATAACTAGGTTTTCTTTCTTTCCATCTTCCTTTTTGGTTGATTAAAAAAAAATACAAGTCACACTTTGTCCCTCATCATGGCCAACTACCATGCCTCTATCATCAATCGCACAAGGAACCCAGGAAGGTAGGGGGGTTAAAAGAGGAAGAGATGAGAGATACAAACACGTACCCTGAAAGTGTAGGAACCCTAACCTAGCTAGCATGTAAATGCGACTAAACTGGCCATCTGCAGCTCCAATTCAAGAGGATCTTGACTCAAAAAAATTTCAAAAACTTTTCAAGAAACAACATATCAAATGACTACTTGTAAGAAATCTGTTCCCAAAAGGTCTTTTTTCAAATTTATGACAATAAAGAAATCTTATCTATCCCTACCCAAATGCTCTGTTGTAATCAGTGTAGCTTTACAAATTCTGATGTACAACAGATGCCCTCAACAGGAATGTTGTTCATACAGAAACTGTGAAGTATCTGAAAGAAAACCATTGCCTTGAGCTGGCTAGAATGAGCATCTTGAGCAGTCCTGAGGAGCACTTTCTTCCTTCTGTGTTGCACACCGCTGCCTTTGGCTCTGAGAGTCCACTCCCACTGCTCTGTTAGTTGGTCCTAGAAGGCCAAGTAAGATGCATCTACTTACCTAATTTTAAAGAAGGCATCGTAACATTATACTTTTTTTCACTTTACATGTTTCCAAAATTTATTTGAATGAAACTTATAATGCTTAAAAATATACGTCACCAAATTCACCTACAAATTCAAAATCAAAATCTGAATCACCTTTTTTTAATAGAAATGGGCAAGCTGATCCTAAAATTCATATGGGAATGCAAGGGACCCATGATGGCCAAAACAGATATTGGAAAAAAAAAATATGTTGGGAGGATTCACACCTCCTGATTTGAAAACCTACTACAAAGCTGTAATAATCAGCAGAGTACTGGCATCAGGAAAGAGAAATAAATCAATGGAATAGAAATGAGAATCCAGGATAAACCATACAATTATGGTCAAATGATTTTAGACAAAGATGCCAAAGCCACTCAGTGGGTAAAGAATAGTTTTTCAATAAATGGTGCTGGAAGAACTAGATACCCACATGCAAAAGAAAGAAGGTGGACCCCCACCTATATCATATGCAAAAATTAACTCAAAATGAATCAGACCTAAAAGGAAGAACTCAAACTATAAGACCCAGAAGAAAACACAGGTGGAAATCTTTGTGATCTTGGATTAGGCAATGGTTTCTTAAATATGGCATCTAAAGTACAAACAACAAAAAAAATAGGTGGGACGCCTGTGTGGCTCAGTTGGTTAAGCGTCTGCCTTCGGCTCAGGTCATGATCCCAGGGTCCTTGGATTGAGTCCCAAATCGGGCTCCCTGCAAAGCAGGAAGCCTGCTTCTCCCTCTACCTGCCGTTCCCCCTGTTTGTGATCTCTCTCTCTCTGACAAATAAACAAAATCTTTAAAAAAAAAAAATAGGTAAGTTGAACTTCATCATAATTAAAAATATTTTGGGATTTCTGGGTGGCTCAGTTGCTTGGGCGTCTGACTTCAGCTCAGGTCACGATCTCATGGTCCTGGGGTGGAGCCCTCTGGCGGGCTCCATACTCAGCAGGAGTCTGCTTGTCCCTCTGCCCCTCCCTCCACTCATGCTTTTTCTCTCTCTCAAATAAATACAATCTTTAAAAAAAAATTAAAAATGGGGACACCTAGGTGGCTCAGTCGTTAAGTGTCTGCCTTCAGCTCAGGTCATGATCCCAATGTCCTGGGATCGAGCCCCACATCTGGCTCCTTGCTCTGTGGGAAGCCTGCTTCTTCTTCTCCCACTCCCTGCTTGTGTTCCCTCTCTCGCTATATCTCTCTCTGTCAAATAAATAAATAAAATCTTAAAAAAAAAATTAAAAATGTAAAAAAACGTTAAAAATGTTTGTGCATTAAAGGTCACTATCAAGGTGAAAGGACAACAATATTTGAAAACCTGGGGTACCCGAGTGGCTCTGTCAATTAAGCATAGGACTCTTGGTTTTGGCTCAGGTCATGATCTCAGAGCCCTGGGACTGAGCCCTGCGCTGGGCTGTGCACTCAGCAGGGAGCCTGCTTGAGAGTCTCTCTCTCTCTCTCCCTCGCCCCTCCCCCTGCCAGTGCATGTACGCATGCTCTCTCTCAATATATTCGAAAATCATACAACTGTTCAAGTTCTAGTATCCAGAATATACAGATTCAATTCAACAAAATAACCTAATTAAGGGGCACCTGGGTGGCTCAGTCGGTTAAATGTCTGACCCTTGATTTCGTCTCAGGTCATGATCTCAGTGTCCTGAGATTGAGCCCTGTGTCAGACTCCATGCTCAGTGGGGAGTCTGCTTGAGATTCTCTTCCTTTCCCTCTCTCTGCCCCTCCCCTGCTTGCACACTCTCTCTCCCTCTAAAATAAATAAATAAATAAACCTTAAAAGCAAATGAAAAGATGTGCAACATGATTGGTCATCAAGAAAATACAAAGCAAAACCATTTCACACATGCTAGGATGGCTGCAATAAAAACAACAACAACAACAACAGCAACAACAAATAAATGTGGACAATGTGGAGAAACTGGAACTCTCACACATTGCTGGAATGTAAAATGATGCAGCCACTGTGAAAATCAATTTGGCAGTTCCTCAAAACGTTCAAGAGAGTTGCCATATGACCCCAAAATTCCACTCCTAAGTATGTACCCAAGAAACCTGAAAACATAAGTTCATATAAAAACTTGCACATGACAACTAAATAAAATCATAAATGAAAAACTTGTACATGAATGTCCATAGTATTATTCATAATAGCCAAAAAATGGAAACAACCCAAATGTGTATCAACTGATAAATGGATAAACAAAATGTGGTATAGCCATACAGCATTATTCAGCCATAAAAAGGAATGAAGTACTGATTAATACTACACTGTGGATGAACCTTGAAAATATATGGTAAGTGAAAGAAGCCAGACACAGAAGGCCATATAATGTGAGATTCCACTGACATCAAACCTTCAGATAAAGCAATTCCACAGAGTCAGGTAAAAGTAGATTAATGACTGCCAGGAGTTGAGGAGAGGAAGGGAATGGGGAATGACTGCTAATTAACACAGCGTTTCTTCTTGGGGTGATAAGGATGTTCTGGAACTAGATGGTGGTGATGGTCATACAATTTTGTTAATACACTAAAACCCACCGAATTTCACACTTTAAAATGGTAAATTTTTTAAAAAGATTTTATCAATTCGAAAGAGCGAGCAAGCGCACAAGTGGAGGGGGAGGCAGAGGGAGAGGGAGGGAGAAGCAGACCCCCTGCTGAGGAGGGAGCCCAGGACCCTGGGATCATGACCCGAGCCAAAGACAGATGCTTAACTGACTGAGTCACCCAGGAGCCCCAAAATGGTAAATTTTATGGCATGTGAATTATGTATCAATAAAAAAAGAGAGAAATAGGAAAACATATATACTACTGGCCTCCAGAAATGTTTACTTAGAATAGATGAACAAAGGTCTGATATGCTACTTCTGAAAAATGACCCACAGTTACTGGGCAGATCTGTAGCACTGTGGGTAGCTCTTGACTAACCAGGGTGGTGATTACCTGCATGTTTACTTGGAGGTAAAAAAAAAAAATCAAACATTGTTAGTATACTTTGTGTACTTTCCTACATTATTCTTCAGTAAAAAAAAAAAAAAATAAAGGAAAAAACAAAGAGTTAACTAGCACAGAAAGGAGGGAAGCTTGGGTAGGGAAACTGTCACTCCAAGCGGAACGGCACTGAGGGTGGGGGAAGGGGGGACCTGAGAGGGAGCAAGACAGAGATTACTGAATGGCCAGTCTCACTCAAATCTCCTTCCTTCTTTACAATAAAGCAGTGGGGCCAAGAATATGTGCACTGCACTACTCAGAAATGTATGTGTTTACATGACTAACTTGGGGTGTAAGTAAAAGTCCTAGATTAAAGGCTTTGGCAAACTCTAAGATTCAGACCTAATCTAAACTGCAATTTCACTATTAGGAAGAAAGCAACAGATTCATGAAAATAAAAACCTGAAAAGGAAGGGGAGGGGAATGATGTCATCAAAAATGGCAGAGCAAAGACCTCAAAAAATTCTCTTCTCCATAAAAACAGTAAGAAAACTAGCAAAAATGGTCAGAATCAACTTTTTCCAAACTCTGGAAATTAGGAGACTTGCAACAATTTGGGGGAATATTTATTCTAGAAAAACAGCTGAATTTCAGTAAGAATAGTGAGCTTTGCAAGCATTTTAACTTGACCTAGTTCCCTTCCCTGTTCTCTAACTCTGCAGTAGCCTTGAAAACTAACAGCAGCATTTGCAGTGAAAAACAGAAGGCAGGCGGCCGCCAGAGGGAGAACTGGACTAGAGCTCCTTCAAAGTTTCATTCCCAGGAAATTATCATTATTTGACCTATCTGGTGGTTCCCTGGAAGATCCCACTTCTCTATTTGAACGGACATGGAGCTCACTTGGAAAGGGGAGAAAATCTGCTTTCCAGAGTTCCCCCATTATATCATTTAAAATTTTCAATTTTCAAGTAAAGTTTACAAGACATGCAAAGAAACAAAGTATGGCCCATACACAGGAAAACAAACAACAGAAACAATTCCTGAGGAAACTGGATTTACTAGACAAAGACTTAAAATCAGCTACTTAAAAATATGTTGAAAGAACATGTAACATATGTAGCAGATGTAAAGAACTAAAGGAAAGTATGATAGTGCTGTCTCAGCTGATACAGAATACTAATAAAAGATAAAAGGTGTATTTAAAAAATTGATCCAAAAAGAAATTCTGGAGTTGAAAAATATAACTGATATTCTTGTGTTCCCTCTCTCGCTGTGTCTGTCAAATAAATAAATAAAATCTTAAAAAAAAAAATACACTAAGTGGTTCAACTGCAGATTTTAGCAGGAGTCAGCAAATCTGAACATAAATCAAGATTATTCAGTTTAAGGAGCACAAAGAAAGAATGAAGAAAAAAGAAATCAGCCTCAGAGACCTGCGGGGCACCATCAGGCATATAATGTGATTCCCATAAAGAGAGGAGAGAAAGGCACAATCACTGAACTCTACCTCTGAAACTAATAATACATTATATGTTAATTAGTTCAATTTAAATAAAATAAAAAATTTTTAAAAGGTACAGAAAGAATATTTGAAGAAATAAGGGCTAAAAACTTCTCAAATTTGATGAAAAATATGAATCTACACATCCATGAAGCTCAACAAACTCCAAGTAGGATAAACACAAATTATAATCAAGTTGCCTAAAGTCAAAGAGAATCTTGAAAGCAGCAAGAAAGCAACTCATCACATACAGCTGACCTCATTATTTACAGTAGTTATATTATATAAGGTCACCACGTAAACTGTTATTCGCAAATACTGAATCAGTTCCCTTAGAAGACATAGAGAGTTAAATTCCTATGAGCCTCTGGTCATAACATTTTCATCAAGCAATCAATACATATGCGTGTTCTTTTCAAAGATATTTAATATATATTGTTGATTCATTAACACTGAACTCACAGCCAACAGCACTATACCCCATACCTGAATGAAGCTTATCTAACACACACATTTTCTCCATATGGCACATTACTGCTTTCTTGAGCTTAGGAACACTTAATAGCCCTTCAGCTCTATGCTGAGGGGCCATTTTATTTTATTATTTTTTAAATATTTTATTATTTGACAGAGAGAGACACAGTGAGAGAGGGAACACAAGCAGGGGGAGAGGGAGAGGGAGAAGCAGGCTTCCCACGGAGCAGGGAGCCCGATGCGGGGCTCGATCCCAGGACCCTGAGATCATGACCTGAGCCGAAGGCAGACACTTAACGACTGAGCCACCCAGGCACCCCTGAGGGGCCATTTTAAACAGTGAAACTGCCAACATAAAGCATAAAATGTAAAAAAACAAAACAAAAACAACCCATGGCAGTAGATAGACTATGGAAAGGATACTTGTTTATAATCTGAGTTGAAATAAGAAGGCAGAATATCACCTTGTTTGACCTCAGCCAAGGGTGTGCACATTGGGCAATTTAAAATTTTCTGCCGCTCTGCACATGTTCACCAACGATCATGAGAGGTTCACAAGTACTGATTTTGTGTTACAAATAAATTTTAGCCAGTAAGCTAATCCACAAATACAGAATCTGAGAATAATGAGGATAGACTATATAAATACATGGCTTGAAATACTTGTATCTCCAACATAATGGGGTATGCCTCTTCTTAAAAAATCCTAAAAATACAGGGGTGCCTGGGTGGCTCGGTTGGTTGGGCATCCGACTCTTGATTTCGCCTCAGGTCATGATCTCAGGATCATGGGATGGAGCCCCACGTCAGGCTCCCTGCTCAGCGCGTCTGCTTGTCCCTATTCCTCCCTCTCCTTCATACTCCTTCTAAAATAAATAAATGGATAAAATCTTTTTTTTTTTTAAGATTTTATTTATTTATTTGACAGAGAGAGACACAGCGAGAGAGGGAACACAAGCAGCGGGAGTGGGAGAGGGAGAAGCAGGCTTCCCGCTGAGCAGGGAGCCCGATGCGGGGCTCGATCCCAGGACCCTGGGATCACGACCTGAGCTGAAGGCAAACACTTAACGACTGAACCACCCAGGCACCCCATAAATGGATAAAATCTTTTAAAAAAATCTAATATACAAAAACATCAACCTTTGAAACAAATAATCAGAGAGTTACTGAACATCTTAAAAAAGATACACAGAGGGTGCTCTTTAAGTAGTGAACCCTGAGTATATTTAATGTAATATTATCAACAGTTCCATCATGTGTAACTTGTCAAGATTTCATTTTGATTTTTAAAGGCTCAAGCCTATATATTTAAGGTACAATCCATGTGATAATTTAGAAGTGTGTAGTTTACAAAGACAAACTTATGCTTTAAGAGAACAATTACATCTGGTGAATCATTTACTCCTTTTTCCCCTTTAGGAATGTATTATTTTAATTTTTATTTATTTTTAAATTCAAGTATAATTAACATACAGTATTATAGTAGTTTCAGATATAAGGAACATATTAATTTATTTTTTAAAGATTTTATTTATTTATTTGACAGAGAGATAGAGAGAGCACAAGTAGGCAGAGCAGCAGGCAGAGGGAGAAGCAGGCTTCCCACGGAGAGCAGGAAGCCCGAAGCGGGGCTTGATCCCAGGACCCCAAGATCATGACCTGAGCCGAAGGCAGACGCTTAACGACTGAGCCACCCAGGCGCCCCATCATGGAACTGAAATACCATTCAAGTTCTATCATTTTCAAATGGGATTTTGCCAAGAAATAATAAGCAGAAAAGGTGGTGACATCCATTTAAGGAGTTGTCTTCATGGCAGTGATCATTTCCCCTGACAAATACTGTTGGAAGCTGGGTGATGGGTACACGAGACCCATCATATAATTTGCTCTACTGTTGTGTATGACTGAACATTTCCATAACAAAAAGTTTAAAATGCATACAAACATGCACAGAAGCACCCCTTTTGTTATTTTTTTTTTTACACAGAATTCTTCTCAATGCTTAATATTTTCCTAATGCTTTCCCCCCATATTTATCAGCATGAAGGGCTAAAATATGTTCAATCCATTCAAGGACATTTCTGTATTTTTTAAAAAAGAATTTTCACTGGGAAAATATTCATCATGTATATACCCATCATTCATATATATTGTGGAATCAATATACATTGTGAAGACCCCAGAAATTAGCTATAACCAAGACTTTTGAGAGTTAAGTATTTATTCATAAGTTTTAATGATGCCTGAAGAGTCACAAACACATAGCTAAAAAGGACATTTTAGGAGATAAGTCACATTTTTTCAACACCACAGCAGTTTGCTAAAATTCTCAATAGATTAAAACTGAACTCAGACCTGATTATGTCATTTAAAACATTCCTTTCTGCAACCAAAGTCATCAGCAATCTCAATTTCACACAGTAACAAAGAACATGCTTGAAACTAGACAAAGATTAAGTATAAAAGGGTTTTCTTATACCCATAACTGACAAGATATAAAAAGTGGTTTGGTCAGCCTGAGAAAATCTGAAGAGCTTCCCTTTATAGAGAGTACTGTGGATAAGAGAGTGACCTTGGGGTCTGACTAACTGGGTGGGATCCTGGCTCTGCCACTTACCAGCTATGTGACCTTGGGCAAGTTCTTTAACCTCTCTGTGCCTCAGTTTCATCGTCTGTAAAATAGGGATAATAACAGTAACTACTGTTATTGAGTTCAATGAGTTTATACATATAAAGCACGTAGAATAATATCTGGCATATACTGAGCACTGAGTGTTAGATGATCTTGTTATTATCATTCCCATACAATAAGTGAAAGTAAGCAAGCCTTGCTAGCTCTGCTTGTCTGGAAAAAAGTATAGACAAAGGTCCTGTAAAGTCACCTGATCCCTGAACTAAGTAGAAATCTATGTATTCTAGGGTAGGAGGCATCACATGCTTCAGTGATGTGATAGCTATGACTTGTGAACACAGAGAACAATTTTAAATCCATTTCAGTCATTAAGCCAACAGAGAAAATGGGAATGAGAAGCAGTCCTGTTGTCCGCAATAGGAATGGCACAAAGTAGCTTCATTTCAGGATGACAGGCTAAAGAAACAGGCACATGTACTTACCTTCCCACTGGCCCCAAATCCTAAAGACATAATGGTAAAGACATTCACAAGGGAATCACAACATAACAGTGATGAGAAGGGCTGAGGGATATAGTCTCTTTAAACGCTGTTTACTTTCTAGAAGATGAAGAGAAAGCAGAGGGAACTGTATGATACAACGACCACAGCAGAGTTGGACACTTCCCAGAACATGCAGGGCCAAAGGCAGGCAGAGAGGCAGAGCCCTTTTTCCTGGGGAAGCTGGAGAGACGCCCAGCTCTAAGTAGGCAGGTACAGAAATCAGGAGCGGGAAATAGGTTCATCAACCTGATTTCCTCCACACTTCTCACTCCTGGTCACTCACTCAACCAACTCTTACCAAGGCAAAAAGACTGCTAGAAAAACAAGAACATTTTCTCAATTACCTGTATCATCAACCCACTTTTTCATTGATAAGGATCACCAAACAGTAGGAAAAAAAACCCAAAAACCAAAGGACAATAAAGGACACCTAAGATGAAAAGCAGATCAGACTCCAGAAGAAACATATATTTTAGGTCCCTGAAAAGAAATTCCAACTGGTATCCTCAGAGAGATATAAGATAATGCAACCTTAAAACAATAGCAAGCAAACCATAAACAAGAAAGAATTCTTGGAAATAAGAATTATGATTGCTAAGGTAAAAAAGAAGGGAAAAAATAAAATGAGAGTGGAGTAGGGTGCACACATTTGCTTATATATTTTAAAATAAGCAATGGAAGAATAAATCAAAAACCAATAAAAATTTTACCTATGTGGTATAGAGAAGAACAAAGGCAATGAAAGGAAGCCAAAATTCTCTCAATCTACCTTGCTTTATAGTTTTATCTTTAGAATCAAGTAAATATTTTATACAATTAAAAAATAAAAGTCAAAAAGAAAACAATCCCTAAAAATAAAAAAAACAGACAAATGAACCTGAACTATTTATCAAATTGGTGGCATAACCACACAGAGAAGGATTACCTGAAGTTTAAACAGTGTTTTTTACTATACCTCTCCGGTGTTAGGAGAACAGACATAAATATAAAATCAAAGAAATAAAAATCCTTTAACCCTTCATTTGAATTTGAAATATCAGTCTGAAATCATGATTTACCTTTTAATTTCTCTGAACATATTTACTTTACTGAAAAGACCTAGAAGGATTCAAATTCCAGTTGTAATGAATGCCCCTAATTCTTTTTCCCACCAAAAAATCAGAGCTCCTAATAAAAATGGCTGATTTTAGATCTGGGGTAAGAAACAAAAAAAGATAAGCCAGGAATTCTTATCAGGTCAGAAAGCAAAGAACCCCTCTAATCTGGCTTGTGTCAAAAGGACTCAGAGTGAACCTGAAGAGTAAGCTGTCCTAATGACCAATAATGGGACAATTTAAGCATACAAACAAAACAAAACAAAGCAAAAAACCTCCCCTGGAGCAAAAATCATTAAATATATAAAAATTAATGAGTTTGGGGGTGGCTGGGTGGCTCAGTTGGTTAAGCGTCCGACTCTTGGTTTCTGCTCAGAGCCTGATCTCACGGATCTCATGGGTCGTGGGATCGAGCCTTGTATCGCGCTCCGTGCTGTAGGAGTCTGCTTGGATATTTTCTCCCTCTGCCCCTTCCCCCACTCATGCTCTCTCTCAAATAAATAAAATCTTTAAAAAAAATTAATGAGTTTGGACTTGGCAATAATTTCCTGGATAAAACACCAAAGCACAGGGACGCCTTGGTGGCTCAGTCCGTTAAGCGTCTACCTTCGGCTCAGGTCATGATCCTGGGGTCCTAGGATAGAGCCCCGCATTGGGCTCACTGCTCAGCGGGGAACCTACTTTTCCCTCTGCCTGCCGCTCCCCCTGCGTCTGTGCTCTCTCTCTGACAAATAAATAAAATCTTAAAAAAAAAAAAAAAAAAACCCACCAAAGCACAGGCAACAAAAGAAAAAATGGACAAACTGGACTTCATCAAAATGAAAACTTTTGTGCATCAAAGGACACTATCAATAGAATGAAAAGGCAACACACAGAATGGGAGAAGATACATGTAAATCGTACCTCTGAAAAGGGATTCATATCCAGAATATATAAAGAACTACATACAGCTCAAGAACAAAAAAACAAACAATCCAATTTTAAAATGGGCAAAGGACTTGAATAGACATTTGTCCAAAGAAATAGACAAATGGCCAAGAAACACATGAAAAGATGCTCCACGTCACTAATCATCAGGGTGAAGCATGATGATTTGATCAAAATCACAATGAGATACCACTACAAATCCATTAGGATGGATATTATAAAAAGAAAAAAAAACACACACAGAAAATAAGCTGTTGGCAAGAATGTGGAAAAACTGGAACCCTGAGCATCACTGGTGAGAATATAAAATGGTACTGCCACTGTGGAAAACAGCAGGGCGGTGCTTCAAAAATTTAAATATATAATTACCATATGATCTAACAATTTCACTTCTCAGTATATACACAAAAGAAGTGAAAGCAAAAATTTGAACAGATATCTGTATACCAATGTTCTTTGCAGCATTATTCATAACAGCCAGAAGATGGAAATAAGACAAATGTCCATCGATGGATGAATGGATAAACAAAATGTGGTACAACCATAAAATAGTATATTCTTAAGCCTAAAAAGGAAAAACGTTCTGATACATGGTTCAACATGGTGGCAATATCAATGGACTTAAGAAGGCGGAGATCATGCTCTCTACTTCCAAAGTCATAGCTAGGTAACAGGATCTCAAGCACCCTGTTTCTCAAGCTCAGGTGTAGAGTGAAGAGTATAGGTGGGTGGAGAGTGCTGGCTATTTCTCTGGGGGAGCCTGTCCTTTATCTTCTACATCTGTTTATAGCATCTTTCACTACGTGTGCACATGCGTGCACACGCGCGCACCCCCCCCCATTTCTCTAGTTAAATATGTTCATCTGTTCTTTCAGTTTCGGGTTTTGCAACTTAATTCACCTTGCCAAAATTAATGATCAAATGTAGATGAACCTTTCAAAAATGATATATAAATGGTCAATAAGCACACGAAAAGATGCTCAACATCACTAGCTATCAGGGAAATGCAAGTTAAAACCACGAGATACCACTAATCACTGGGATGGCTTTAATAAAAACAGACAATACCAAATGCTGGGGAGGATGTGGAGAAACTGCCTGTGAGGATGCAAAAAAGGTGCAGAGACTCTGGAAAACAGTCTGGCAGAACTTCAAAAGGTTAAACATAAAAGTACCATATAACCAAGCAAGAGTATACCCCCAAGAGAAATGAAAAACATGTCTACACAAAAACCTGTGTATGAAGTTTACTATTCATAACTGTGAAAAAAAGTGGAAACAACCCCAAAGTCTATCAACTGATGAATGAATAAACTAGATATAGGAGAGCCATGCAATGGAATATTATTCAGGCATAAAAAGGAGAGAAGCACTGATCCATGCTACAACATGTATGAGCCTTGAAAACACTGTGCTGAGTGAAAGAAGCCAGACACAAAAGTCCACATACTACACATGATTCCATTAATATGAAACGTCCAGGACAGGCAAATCCATTGAAATAGAAAGTAGATGAATGGTTGCCTGGGCTGGGGTGGATGAGAAGAATGGGGAATGACTGCTAATGGATACAGGGTTTCTTTCTGGAGTGATTAAAAATGTTCTAAAATTGATTGTGGTGGTAGCTGTAGAATTCTGAATATACTAAAAAGCACTGAATCATATACTTTAGATGGATGAGTTGTATAGTATGTGAGTTATGTTTCAATAAAGCTGTTAAAAAAAAATAAAGATGAACCACTCCATAAACAATTCCCTCTTCAGAGCAAAAAACACAGAAATTTTTTCTCCCCTCCAGTCTGTAACAATGTAAATCTAAATCTACCCTTGATAATATGGAGACGCCACAGGAAATTCTTCAGGGAGATTAGTGAAGTTATTGTCTGTCAAGTTCAAAGCCCAACCATTTCCATGTTTTTTGTCGGTTCAGAATGACACGAGCCATATTTAGAAATGCACTCCAGAAAAATGCTTTGAAGAATTTTATTCTCAACATTCATGAATTTAAAATATCTATCCAGGCAAAAGAAAATGCCTGAAAGATTTAGTTTTGTTCTCTCAGTCCTAGGACGCTACTTTTTTGGCTCCCTTTGTAATATGTTATCACACTAAAAAGAGTGAGGCAATTCTGTATGGGAAGATGCCTGTCCTCCTTGCTCTCCTCCCGCCCCTCTGGCCATTCTTAGTTGCCTCTGGGAGCCACTCCTGCTCTAACCTGAAGCACGTGGTTCCCCAGAGCTCTATGCTGTGCTTTGTCTGTTTCTATGATCAACATGGTCTCCCTAGGAGGATCCCCCAATCCATCTCTCCAGCCCAGATCTTTCTCCTGTGCTCCACATCCCAAATATTCAACTGCCTACTGGACAGGTCCCCGAGTCAAGTGCCCATCACCAACCCTCCCCAGGCTCTCGTTCCTTTCCTGCCTTGATCTACCATCTGCCTGTAAGCCAGAAACCTGGCAGTCATCCTCTACTCCT